TTTTTTACTGTATTTTTAATCAAATAAATGCATAACCTAAACTCAAACTTTTGAATAGTGGTTTCTGTTATACCATTTGCCTCTCTCTGCAGTGACTTCTCCTGTGTGTAACTATGATGAGCCCAGATTTAGAGCACAACTTCTCTTGCACCAACTTATATGACCATCGTCCAGTGGCCAGAGTTCTCATACCTCTGGCTTATTCCATCATATGTCCAGTGGGACTTTTAGCCAATGCCCTGGCTCTTCATGTGATCTTCTCCAACATCACCAAACTTAATTCCATCACGCTTTATTCCGCCAACCTGGCTGTGTCCGATATCCTGTTCTGCCTGTCGCTTCCCCTCCGAGCTGTTTACTACGGCCTTGGCTTCCACTGGCCCCTGGGGGAAGGACTATGTAAAGCCATAACACTGCTCTTCTATTTGAACTGCTATGCTGGAGTAAACTTCATGACCTGTCTGGCAGTCGATCGTTTTGTGGCACTGGTGTTTCCTCAGAGTCTGGTGAAATTGAGAAAGGTGAAAAATGTGCGACTAGTGTGTCTGGCCATTTGGCTGCTGGTGTTTGCCCAGACGTTGCCTCTCCTGACCATTAACTTGACCAAAACGGAGCATGACAACAGCATCACCTGTATGGAATACCCCAATTTTGAGGGTCTTTTCAAAGGGCTGCCCTACATGCTGATCGTGGGGGTAGTTTTAGGCTTTGGAGTCCCACTGGTGACAATCATCGCCTGCTACTCCATACTGACCCGTAAACTACATCTAGTAGCACAGTCGAACCGACTGACAGAACGTTCTGGAAGGACCAAAAAAGCAAGAGGAGTGATCGCAGGAGTGGTATTTGTGTTTGTGGTGTGTTTCAGCCCATACCATATAGACCTTTTGCAATACATGATCCGAAAACTTTTCTATGCTCCAGACTGCACGGAGCTACAGTCCTTTCAGATATCCCTGCATATTACAGTGTGTCTTATGAACTTAAATTCATGCCTGGATCCTTTTGTTTACTTTTTTGCATGCAAAGGCTACAAGCAGAAGCTGATGAGAATGATGAAGTGGCAGG